TGGTAGAGTGTACTGGAATCCTCCGTGAATATAGTGATAATCACTCTCCAAAGCAAGTGGTTGATCGCTTTCCGATCCACAGAATCGTCTCGAAAAGCCAATTTTCTGATAGGCTCGCTCGCAGTGCTTGGGCAACCGAACTCTGAAGCATAGAACAACCTGGTATGAGCTGTTTCGCCGTACAACACTCATCCCACTTCTATTCTGAGTCGTAGAAGCTTTTGACTGGATCCTGTAGAAGTCTGTGGATAATGCAGTGAAGGAAACGGTCAATGTAAGAACCAGTGTTTTCTACTTGAACGAGTTGGCTCATCTCCGAAAGGTGAAGCTGACCTGGCTGAGGTTCGATCGAAGAAACGGACATTCTTGGAGAGGATTCCTGGGGAGGGTGCGCGGTAGTGGCATTAAATGGTGGTACTCCACCTTAACCTCCCTCTAGAGGGACAGGAAAAAAAGCTTGAAAGCTTTGCACTGGGTGTGAAAGCGGTGTCCTTCATCATCATCTAATGCAGGTCCCCTTTCTTCAGCTCAATCCCCCACTTTGGCCATTTTTTTGAGATGGGGAGATTAATACAAAATAATTTGCAAAAAAAATTATGCAATGCAGGAACAAAATTATTGGAAACATTCCGAAAATATTGCGGTAGCGATTCCCCTGGTTCTTAGTGCCTGGTTTTCAATCGTTGACCTGGAAAATCTAAAGGCGCCCGAATCTCCAACGGATCTTCTGCCTTCTTTAGTCCTAGCCGAATGAACGAGGCAGGGGAGTAAGAAGCCTCTCTAGACACCCCTGAAAGAAATTGCCCAATAACGATTCCAGGATCGAGTATGTTCTCGGGTGGGAGAAGGTCAAGCGTTCGAGCAAGATAACCAAGAACAAAGGAAAAGTGGCTAGGGCAAATGGGCACTGAAAGAACATTGGCAAATCCAGGGGATGTGGAGAACTTGTGGGCCATAGCACAAGTGAAATAGGTAGTCAAGAGCAAAGATCTGTGGCTGTCGGTGAAGGCGGTCCTAAAAATAGCGTTGGCAATTTGTGTACGAAAACCACGTATGCGTAATTGTATTGAACGGCTGATGTGAAAACGATGAATGGAGACGATGAAATCTGCGTATCGCCCTTCAAGTATCTATCAGTAGGTTAGCAACGGTCACAGATTGGGTGAGAGCGGTGAGTGGTACGAGTGGTACGACCAACTGAGTTCAAGCGAAAATGGAAGGGCCCATAGGGCTGACTGGTGTTTTTTCCTGTTTCTATCATTTTCTAGGAATTCAATTAACTTCTCGGATAGCTTTCGAGACATTTCTTTTCGGTAAGCCTATGGAATTCGGGGATTTCGGAACACTTTTTCGTAATCAATGAGTGAGGATGAGGATTAGATCCAAATGAATCACTTCGATTCGATTTCTTCGATAGATCCATCTGGGGAGATTCATTACGGCTTTCTCGATGCACGCCCCTTTGGCCCATCTAGATTGCTGAAGCCACCCCTCCTCTAACTTCGATATACCGGAAAGAAGTTTCAACAAAAACTGCTTATTAGATCTTTTGCATTTTTTCCAGATTTAGGTAAGCCTTCATATCTGGGTTCAGCTGCTTGCTTTTCTTCCACTTCTTCTTCTTCCTCTTCTCCCTGGCATCAATCCCACGCCGTCGCTAGAGTCTGTTATTTTTGTCAGTCGTCTCCACTTCCTTCCATCTATTGCACCTCCTGCCATTACATCAACCCTCCCATGCCCTTTTTGATTGCTGACTGCGAATTACCATGGGTGGGAATAACATGATGAACTCGATCTTTTTTCATCTTGCTCATTCATTCCATTCCATGGGTCCTGATGTGAAGATCTTCAGCCGTTCTACTGTACTACCAACAATCATAGGTCCATAGAAGACGCTTCTAGCTCTTCTCCTTCGTTGCTTGATACTGATGCTCGGCACAAATTCCTCTAGGAATGAGTGAGCGTCAGCTACTTCTCCTAAATCGTAGACCCCGATTCGGGTTGTCAGTCTTCCATAATTGATGTCATCGGGTCGTCGATACATGCTTCCGATGTTAGGGTTCGTGCACTGGAAGTTCAGATCGTCACCTTAGTCCTTCACCTTTGGAGCAGCCAATTTGTCCCTGGGATTTTGGCAGCCTATCTCTAGCGTTCCTATCCAACGTGCGTTATTAGTGGCTCCTTCAGGTTAGGGGGAAAGACCCATTCATATTACTGTTTTCGGGGTATGTGCACCCACGAGTAGCTTGCCAGGCTTAACGTGGGGGTTGGGTTGAATGCGGGCAGCTAGCCAGGCTCTTCAGGAGTGGACGAGGGGTTTCAATTGTGGAGGCGGCCCCGAATCGCCTCTCGAATGCAAGCTTTTGGTTAAGCCGACGTGCAGGAACCAACCACACTCGCAGGCTCTTCAACACATGATAAACTCAAACGGTCTTCTGTCATGCATGGATACACCTGCGAAAAGGCAGAAGGTATAAATCGACCCAATACGGCAGAAACAAGGAGAGGGTGGCGTGAACCGGCCTTTCACTTCATTAAGATTGATGATATGCACCGGAATGCAGACGAAGTGGAAAGGAGGGGATGGGGGTTGGGGAATTGAGACAAATTAGAAAAAAAGCGAAAACAAACTATAAGGATAGAGGTGAAGTCTTGGGGCGCTAATCAATCCCATCCAAGGGATCGCCATGCATTCGCATTCCATTGAGAACCGTAGTGGCGTATTGGATGCGTATGTAGCTGATACAATAACTTGCGGTGGCCATCCGGGGTACAAGCCAGTGCTTTTATCCTCCCAGACGAGTCTGGTACCAGCTAACCGATCTCGGAGGGATTGGAGGCATGGTTGGCCTAGTAGTCTAGTAGAACGATCAGTTAGTTAATCATTTTAGCCCTTCAGTGAAATCATTTATCTACATTTTTCATAAAGTACAAAATTATTGATACAGTGAACACTTATAAGCATTGACTGCTGAAGAAGTTTAGTGAAAGACAAACCATCGATCAAATAAAAATGAAAATGACTACAACCAGAAAAACCAACATAAAATTGCTGGGAGAAAATTGGATTCATGCAATTTTCAAGCTCTTTTCTAGGAATCTAGGAATCTATAATAATACGTGATCTAATTAAGGATAATTTATGATACACTATGATCCTAGAAATGAAATAATAATTATACGAATTCGCAGAAAAGAACATAGAAATAGGGATGTAGGGCAACTGAGAAGTCAAAAATCACACTAACACAACTAAAACCAAAAAATTAGTTCTTCCAACGTAAACCAATCACGAGTATAGGATACAAATGCAGTAAATGGGTGAGAAGTGATAACAAGTAATAAGTAGATGTAATCAATGATAATTGATAGAGCTCTATACCAATTAGTAGATAGGGATGAGCATAGCGTCGTGGAAAATGACCTCCTCCCCACGAGCTCAGTGATTTCATCTTCATATTCAACCCAATGCCCATCGAACTTCAAAAATATATCTGCCGAAAAGGGGCGGAAGTTGATGGATGGGTTTTCTTATTGTTCTTGAAAGCTCAATTACAAAAAGTGCAATATTTATATTTAACCATCATTAAAAACAAAAATCCCCATACCCCTCCCGTTAATACGACCCTATGCTCTCTTAATGGCTTTATATGGTGGCATACTCAGCGATACTTGCCTGACCCTAGGATCGTTCTTAGTTTGTTATTCACTGGCAGACTTAACAGTTTGCTTTTGAGTGAGTTCGTAGTAGAAACCTCGTTTTGCCATAAGTTCCGTATGAGTCCCTGAAATGAATACAATTCAGTAATCAAAACTAGCTCGAAATCTAACTCTTCACGTCTTCAAATACTGACGGTGTCTGGTGAAGTTATCGATATAATTGCAAAAATCTATTTTTTTAACAAAATCACCTAACATGTTCTTCATGATAAAACATAATTTATAGTCTTACAAGGTTGGCGATTTGTGGGCAAAACTCCAGTCTCGGACGGGACTTGAACCCATACTTGTCCTTTCCGGGGACCGTGCTCTTATCCCTTACACCACCGAGACCCCGCTTGCCCTCGCCTCCTTAATGGCTTATATAATTTATAGTCTCACATAACCAGAATACGACTTCCTAAATTAATTAGGTTATGACAATTAGAATTTCTTTGCTTTTTTTATTTGTTTCAATTTTCCTCCCCATCTCCACCCCTCTCCTTTCCGTCTCGGTACTGTGCCATATCACTAATCTTAATGAAATCTTAAGTGATATGGCACAGGGCCCAGGCGAGCGGAGGGGAGGGGTGTTGATCCTAATGAAATCAAGGGTCGATTCAAGTCTATAAGGTTATGTATATAGATACCTAACCATTCGGTTGAGAGGAGTAGCGGACCTTCTACCCGAACTCCCACGCTCGCACGGCTGCACGAGGCAGTGGTTACGCGGCAACTACCGTAACCATTCAATGGAAGTTTAGTTTTGCACTGCGCATTCTGACACATTTCTCGGGGACAAGACTCCACAGCCAGTTGGCAGTGGTTATGCACCCCTTACTCACTGATCATATGAAGTAGTAACTGAATCGAACCTTGCTCGATGATCACACCGCCTTTAACGACAGCAATACAATCGGCATTGACGACAGTACTGAGGCGATGGGCAATAACTATACATGTACGACCTTCACGAGCTCGATCCAGTGCTTCTTGTACCACCTAAAATTGCCCGCATATTGATAACTATCTCTCGAACTGGGGCACCATAAAAACAACTAAATAAATAACCAAAGTGATGAGAAATTACTGTAGTTCATAGACCTTCCACAGCATTACCTTTTCACTTTCCGTATCCAAAGCGCTGGTGGCCTCATCCAGTAGCAGTATCTTCGGGCTCCTGATTAGAGCTCGAGCGATAGCGATACGCTGCTTCTGACCACCAGACAGCTGTGTCCCTTTGTCACCTACGCCTGTTTCGTAACCCTTAAAAATATCAGTCCAAATGGTTGAAAATGCCTCTTCTACAGTTCCCTTTCTTACGTCAGGTAGTCCTTTGATGAAGGTGTGAATATTAGCCTTGCGAGCGGCGTTTTCGATTTCGGTTTGTGAAGGACGTACTGCAATGACAAATGTTGCTATGTATATCTGTAGATATTAGTGTCGATTCTAGCAAAAAGTAAGAATAAGCGGGTGGTGGTTAAGGTTATTTTGAATATTCCGGCAGATGCCTTTGTGTCCATGAAGTTTCCATGAAATAGAGGCTGGTTCGGAACAGTTGCTACTCTCGATTTTCTTGGGAAGACAATGAAGAAAAGCAGCTGATAGAAGGCATTTCCCATCATCGAAGTCTAGTGGGCGGAGCAGCCAGCAGTGGGCGGGCTGTCTGCGGCTGAATAAACCCTTCACTCAGAAGTGAAGGAGACAAGAACTACGACAAGCAGCTTTATCGCGCATAGTGGTCGGGACACCACCCATATAGAGCAGGTAGAATGGGAGCCCTTGTTAATGGTGGACGATGAGTCAGGTGGCCCTTGCTCTCTTGTGACTTAACAATCTTCAATGACGAGATTGCAAGCCAGCTCCGCCTTTTTGTGTAAAATACGCCCTCTGACTTGGAAAGCTCTAATCACCTTCCATTCCGTATGCAATATTGTCGGCAATAGAACAGTCGAATAGAATCGGTTCCTGTGAGACGATAGCGATTTGTGATCGTGTGTGATATGGATTCAGCGAACGGAGGTCGTGCGAATCGAGCAGCTGAAAGAGTTAGCTCGAACATGAACTGTGAAACTCGTACGAAACCACGCCTACCACTTGTCCATCCTTGACATCGTAAAATCGCTCAATGAGCGAGACGACTGTGCTTTTGCCACAACCAGATGGGCCAACGAGTGCCAATGTTTCGCCGGGTTTCGCGGTGAATGACAACCCCTGAATTGATTTTTCCGTTGCATTGCCGAACGGGACGGGCTCCTTACTCGCAATCAATACATATGTTTTGTTCAGGCAGCCAGGGTTCAGGTGAGATTTGTGCGCATACCTTCAATACTTCGATTTGAGGCCGCTCCGGATAGCTGAATTTCACATTTTTGAAAGTGATAGCACCGCTTAGTTTCTGAATGATGTAAATCAGTTAGAATTTCAATAAAATCAATAGCAATCAAGAGAAAACCCGAATCAAACCTCTTTTTTGCCGTCGTGGGTGAGGTTATCGATGGAGGATTTCTGCTTGAGCATGTTAAAAATGATGCCGCCAGCGAAAGCTGCTTTCATGTACTCAGGGAAGTAGGCCGAGGCAAACCCAAGAGTTGATGACGAAATTGTGATGGCGTACATTACTCTATTGATCGTATTCATCGATTGGGTATATTGATGGGTTACGGTAATGGTGAACTCACCTCAAAACTCTCGTTGGCATCATAATACTGCTGACAATCAGATAGAGACCCAACCGATATGAGCAGCAGTTCAGTACATACACTATAGAGGTAGCAAATCTGGAAAAGGGGACTCTTCGTTGACTTTCAGGTATACTACCTTACGATTGAGTTACAGTATGTTACAGTACGACTCTTCACTGATCTTCAATACGGTATGTTGCCGTATGATAAATTTACAGTATGTAACAGTATGACTCTTCACTGACTCCCAACTACGGTATGTTACCGTACAATTTAGTTACAGTATGTGACAGTACGACCCTTTGTTGACCTTTGATTACGGTATGTTACCGTACGATCAAGTTACAGTATGTAACAGTACGACTCTTCGTTAACCTTCAGGTACGGTATATTACCGTACGATTAAGCTACAGTATTTTATAGTACAACTCTTCGTTGGCCTTCACCTACGGTATGTTACCGTATGATTGGGTTACAGTATGTCCCAGTACAACTCTTCACAGACCTTCAATTACGGTATATTACCGTACAATTGAGTTGCAGTATTTTTCAGTACTACTCTTCGTTGACCTTCAAGTACGGTATATTTCTGTATGGTTAAGTCACAGCACGTTACAGTACGACTCTTCACAGACCTTCATTTACGGTATGTTACCGTACGATTGGGTTACAGTACGCAACAGTACGACCCTTTGTTGGCCTTTGACTACGGTATGTTACCGTACGATTGGGTTACAGTATGCAGCAGTACGACCCTTTGTTGGCCTTTGACTACGGTATGTTACCGTACGATCAAGTTACAGAATTTGTTAACCTTGTTAACCCTATATTACTGTACGGTTAAGTTACAGTATGTTACAGTACAACTCTTCACTGACGTTCAAACTTGGTATATTACCGTACGATCAAGTTACAGTATGTTACAGGTGCTAGAGTAGTATTAGAAAATAATTGGGGAAATTTAAGTGGGCACTCACGCTTTTGAGGTGATCGGGGAAAAGGGGATGAGGAAAACTCGCCGTTCAGATAACGGGAAGGTCTTTCCGACCAGATAGCAAGACAATCTTTTGTAGTACTGGGATTCAAAGTAAGTAAACAATAGCGAAATTGTAAACAAACCCATAGGCAACTCCTTGGATGAATGATTCGCGTAGTGCGTCGCGATGTGGAGCGTCCAGATAATCGCAAAATTTTTGATGGAATGCTTCCTCCTTAGTAAGGGCTTGGACTGTACGAACATGTTCTATTGCTTCCATAGCTACCTGAAAGAAATGGTACTTGTGCCGACAGATACGACGGTTCCGATGGTGTGATGAGTGTAAGTGGTAATGGGAGACATGACGCGTTCACGAAAATTTGAGCAATCCTCAGGACCTTGCCCTCATCTCCGTTCAATTTCGTACCTTTCCGGAATCTTCGAAATCCTTCGCATTCTTTCGATGCTTGCCACCCATAACACGAACTCGTAAAGCCTGTCCGATTCCTGGAATATTACAAAAAATTGTTTAAATATAAGTTGTTTAACTGCTCAAAACTCGATTAAAGAAGAAATAATATTGTTTACCAAGTAAAGGAAGAATTCCAACTACCAAAAATGCCATTTGCCAACCATAAAAGAATGCCAATACAATACCAGCTAACATGGAAATCAAAGTCATGATGACCGTACTCAAACGAAAATCGATTGCCTAAAATTTTACCCAAATTAATTTTCAATTCTTCAAATAATTAGTGGATCCATATTTATTGTGTCGATATTCAAAACGATATTCTGAAAAATGAAAACAATACCAGTTCCATTCCCACTTCAACATTCAAAACAAACCTGAAAACGATGAATTTGGGTTAGGGTTTTGGGTAAGGAACTAGTGGACTAGTATTGCCCCTTCAGTTCGATTGGTCCAAAGATTTCCTGGAATTCTCAACAAAACTCAACACTGATCGTCTCGTTAACATCGACTTAAAGGCACAGTTCACGATAATTTCGAGGTACCCGTTTTTATTTGAAAAGCGGAAGTATAGATTGGGAAAAGTTCATCGATAATGAAGATAGCAAGAGAACCGATTTCGAAAGGAATATGGCTCCTCAAAAGTAGGGGAAGTAGAAGTGGGACGAGATTACCATGACGGAAATAACATGGAAGCGGTATTTGGACGAGTTTTCCATTGTTGCAATTGCACAAAGAGCGGACTACATCAAGCCAGAACTGTAGAGAACTGTCTTTCACTGTCATTATGGGTCATGACTAGCTGTTTGAACTGCCGGCATGGGCCCCCTTGTGATCGGTGCAGCCTCTACAATGCCGGTGAAACTCGTCCGAGGATACACCCAGGCCAATCATTGAGCCTTTACAATTCCCTAACTAGGCCGTTTTCAGACCTAATAGTGCTAGATATGGTATACGCGGGCGCCTCAAATTCATCTTATGGGGGAATTTCATGAACCGTTTTTATCGTGAACTGTGCCTTTAAAAGTAATAATTGTGTAAGGGATAAACGGGTGGAGGTGGTGAAGTGGCAAGTAGCGCACTATCACACGCGCATGAATCATCAGTGAATCCCAGTATGGAATCAAGAATCGATAGACAAGCCAACCGAGTCTTAAAGCCCTCCGTGGTCGGTCAATTGGCACCAGACTGTCTGGGAGATTAAAAGCAGTGACTTGTTCATCGGCTGGCCCCCACAATACATTGTATAGGCCACTCATGCAATACAATGCAACACGTCATTACGATTCTGAACGGAAGTCGAATGTGGGGCGTATCCATCGGACGGGATTGATTCCGCCCAAAGGCTTTACGTATACTTTATCCTTTTATTCCCTATGTAAAATGAAATTAAACGAGTAAGCAGCACGATATCCTTCTTAAATATACTTACCGATCGTAAGTTAGGCACATCGGTAGCCAATCGTGTACATATCTTTCCACTGGCATGTAATGGTGAATCGAAGTAACCCATGTCTTGTGAGAGAATGTTCGAGAACAATTTGGAACGTAAATCCATTGTAAGGTTTTCGGCACCGTAACCCATGAAGAAGGTCTGAGAATGTTTTTAGTCACAATCGATACTCTTTCTCAATCCCGTTGCTAGCACTCGATACCAGATATCGTAAAGAAAAATATGAAAAGTGTTGTTAGCATAAGCGAAAAAATCGGCTCTCCCATCACCCACGGATTAGTTTATTGTTATCACCTCGGACTAGGAGGATAAATCATTGACTTTTACATCGACCGGTCCCCATAAGACATTTTATAGGCCAACCGTAGGCATTCAAGCACCTCTAACATTTTGGACGGAACTTGAGGGCAAACTTATTCTGAATTGGGGCTGATCAATGCCAAAGCTCTTGTCCTCCTTCCAATTTTGAATCTTTGTTTTGGATTCTTACAGATTTGTGAGTGGAACTTAAATTCAGTACTGGGTCTTATCTCCCCAGGTTCAGTTTCAAATAAGTTTTGGGTGATGGTACTTCCCCCTAAATTCCCGCTGTACGCGGCCGTGGTTCAGCGACGGCTACCGTATCTTTCCAATGGGGATTCAAACCCTACCCTTCGAAACGCTCGACCGAGCGCGATTGGGTGAGACGAGCACGACATGATTTTCGGGGAGGAATACCCACACCCCGGTTTTTTTTATTAATAAACAAGTAGTATTCTAGCAAATGAGGCATCTTACCTGTCCAAACATTGTGCATCCTTGAATACCGGCCAGTACAAGGAACATCAGAGCCCAGAAATGTCCCGTTGAAAGCAATGTATCAGGATTAGAAAATGACTGAAATTACATCTATTTTGATTATATCGAAAATACAGTTTTGATTGAAAAAAATTATATTTTGATCACATGGAAAATACAGTTTCGAATTCTATAAAAAATATTATAAATATAACTCATTGATTATTGCAGGATTAGATTGTTATAATTGATTTCCACACTGATTACTTTTGACGCT